TATATATATATATATATATATATATATATATATATACCTTCCGCTAGGTCAAAGTTGAGTGATTTAAAGTTTACTACTGAATCAGTTGAAAAGAAGTGCGACCAATTAAGTATGTTATTTAAAGATATGAGTCACCTGAGTTTAATGCTTTTGATACAAGAAGAACTACTAACTGGTATTCTAATTTAACCGAAAGTTTATAAATCACTTAGAAAGAAACTGAATATTGACAAAGTGCAGGCAAAGATGTGTGAACTGATCAGCTTGAGAGAAGCGGCTTACAACATCAGTAGATGCAGACTCAATAGGGGAAAGTGGCAACCTTTTCCAACACCGAAGTGGAAGTGTCATCGACATTTCCCTGCACTTGTCATGGAGATGTCCCTGCTAGGTGTGAGGTTTCTGTAGACGTGAGGTTTCTGTGGACTTTCGTTCGGTGCTAGTTCCCTTTGATCACGGCGACAACCGTCAGGGCATTTTTGGGTTACTTTATTTTCCCCGGAATTCTTCTTTTAGTGCATTTGCAGAAGCAATAGAAGAGCGAAATACTTCATTAAGAGGTGTGGGACGGGACTGTGTAGATCAAGTTCAAGCTTTAAGAATCATTGCCCTAGGAGACGCCAGTTTGGTAAAAAAGTGGTAAACGGGCTGTTTTTTTGCTTTAAACACAGCTGTGCATTTTGTGTAGATTGAGAAGCTGTAGCTGCCATTAGCCTCTGTTTGCCCCGTCTAATATAATTTTTTAAAAATAAGCCTTAAAAAAAAGCCGGAAATTTGCTTTTGCTGTATATCTGACAACTTTCGTGTCAAAGTTAAGTTCTTTGGTTAAAAATAAACTCTGTATGCGTTGTGGTCGTGTTACTTTTTTAAAATTAGGTAAATCTAATTGAGTTTGTTTAGTTTTCTAAAGTTTTTCCTTTTTTTTCAAAGTTTTCTTTTTAGGGTTTTTCGATTATGTAAGGTGAGGTGAAGTAAGGTAGACCCTTGTTCCTCTTCAAAGCCTCAGCTTTCTTCTAGAATCAAACTTAGGTTGTAGGAAATAAAAAGCTGAAAAATGCTGAAATGCTCAAAAAGCCGTATATGCGTAGTTCATTCCCCTCCCGCCACTGCTGAATACTTTGTACAAAAATTGAAACTGTATCTACTACCTCCTTTGGTATGTGCTGCGTTTTATCGGTTTTCGAAAGAAATTTCTGGCCAAAATAGTCGAAATCTGCTTAAGGCTTATGTCTGACTTCTTTCTATGCTCATTAGGAATTCTGTACCGCTGAATCTTGAATGCAGAAAAAGCGAAAAAGAATATTCAGAAAAATCTCTGGTTGTAGAGAATCCAGTTGAAGATTTGCTCGTTATAAAGATGATAAAGTATAATGAAGTTTTTCTTAATTTTCTTGCTTTTTTTCAGTTACAATGTAAAGAAGATTAGAATTAATAGGGAAATTGCGAAATGAATCAGTCGGAAGCAATACCCATCTCGCTAGTTTTGCTTGAATTGTTTAAATTAAACTTTACCTTGCCAAAAAAAGTTTTTCCATTAATGTTGTTTTTTTTTGCTCACCACTTTGCCTACAATTCCGAAGTCTCCTTCTTGCTCTATGCAGCCGTTCTTTTTTACTCAAGAACATTTTTTGAGAGAGCTGAAATGGTATATATGTGGTTACTTCCATGATTAGACTTATTAATTTAAAAGTTTTGAGCACTTGTTTTTGAAGAGCTTTGCCTAAGTTATTCTCCTTATTACTCGATTCATGCTACTCATGTTACGTTATAAAGATAATAAAATGCAATGAAGTCTTCTTCAATTTCCCTGCTTCTCCTTTTGGCTGCAGTGCCTCATACGAAGGTGGTTCTGAATTTTTCCATTTTCTAGACCTAGCTTTCAAATCAGGCTATTTTGAAGCTGTCATAGATCAATTAGGTTGTGTCAAAAACTCCGTGAACAAAAAATTAAATCTGGTCGGAAGTCGAGAAGAGTGTGTATGCGGCCGAGCAAACTTTAACGCAGTAGCGTTTGACCAATTTACATGTTTTGCAGATTAGAATATACTGACGACGTTTACGTGGACCACACTTGGAGCTCGCAGCTTTATATTTTTAAGTTATTTCGAAGAATTATACTGAAAAGCTGTTGCAATCAAACTAGCCGTGTCTTTGAAGAGCAAGAGTAGGTTTGATTTTCGAGGTCCGGCTGATGTTCTATTGAGTTTCACAGTCATTTGCCTCCTGTAACTAAAGTTGTTTTTCTTAGAGTTCAAGGAAGGTTAATGAAACAAGAAAAGGAATGTGCATTTTGAAGCTGTCAATTGGGAGAGAGAACTGCGAGATTGAGATGAAGAACAACTGTTTTGGTTATCTTCTATAAAATTATGATTTAATTTTCCAAAATATTTTGGAGGTATTGCACGCGTGTAATTGCTGTATCAAGGTTGAATTAGGAAAGATGAATGGTTAAGTGTGTATGAAAAATGTTATCTGACAAGTGTGTTAGGTGCATGAGCTGTTCTTATCACGATGCATCCGTTAATCAGGTCTAACCGCCTTATGTTCAATGCGTTTCTTGCCCCTTACGGTTATTGCTGTTAGTTTATATCTTGTTTTAGCAGTGATACCAAACGTTGTCACCTGCAAAGGTTCCAGTTTGTGAATTTAAAAGCGCATGGGTGTGGTACAGATCAGTAGTGCAGTTGAAAGTACAGTATGTCAACTTAAAAGGCCAAAAACCCCGACACGTTGTTTTTTTTTTTCTCAGCTGATGCCAAATTGCAACAAATTTTTGAAAACGATAGTGCTGAAAATCGTAACAAAATTTGATGGCTTTGGAACTGCAAACAAGCGTGTCGAAGAATTGTTATGTAAAGTGAAATAAAAAAAAAAA